AAAAAAAAAAAAAAAATGCAGGAGAGTATTTTTCAGTGAGGCATTTTCGCAAACAGTAGATGTGCATGCAAAAGGAGGTTGAACTTTTAAAGGTTTTTTTTTTTTAGTTTTTTATATTGCAGCGAGAATATGTATCCAAAATTTAATGTATTGGTAACAAGAGTACGGGTCATATTTCGGTTTTTGGTAATTGCATTCATCCTCTTCAACTTTAAAAATTAAAAATGATTAAAAAAAATCATCTATAAGTTAGCAAGCAGTAGACGAAGAGGGGTTAGCGCAGTGGCGCATACCTTCGTTCAGCGTGTACCATGTCCCGAGTTCGAGTCACTCGGGGGAATTGGAGAACCAGTATTGATCCCCCTTTTAAAGAAGAAAAAAAAAAGTTAGCAAGCAGTAAAGTGTAAAAGAGTCTGAGTTATGCCGAACTGGAGTTTGGACGAGTCTTTAGCGAGCCGAGTTGAGCTTTAGTTAACTAAACAATCGATCTACTGAGTTTGAGCTTGATTAATTTGTCAATATTAATGACCAGAACTCGAACTTAATGAGTTTAGTCAAATTAATAATTCGAAACACTACATAAAAATCTCTACTATTAAGCCTTCTCAAGTTCAACTGACGAGTGAAGTCGAATTCAAACTTTAATGTCGGTTTAAAGTCAAGTTCACGAGGAATTCGCTTCGATACTACCAACACTAACCTTGTACTTTTATCTAAGACAAGGAAAACATATATTTTAACATAGTTTTTCAGAATTTAAGAAAGTTCAAAATAATCCATGTTTATACTTTTTATTAATTTTATAATATATTTTATCAATTTAATTATAAATATATTTTAACTTTAAATATTTTTTATTTAAGTTCTTCTAATGATGTTTTATCTTACATTTATACAATTATAATATTATTACATCCTCCTTATATATAATTCCCGAATGCGCTTAGCTTACGTGGCTGCGTCTGGTGCTTCGGAATCCTACTTGGCGAAGAATCATGCTTCGTAATTATGTTTGGACAAATATTATTGATATACATTCCATAAATATTATTTAGCTAACTTAGGTATTCTAATATCACTTGTACTAATATAACCCTTTAATTCCTTGTAATTTTATATAGTGAGACACTAAGTGACTAATATATCCCTGACTTTTGATTTGTTTCCTTCAATTAGCGATTGAATTGTAAATGTATTTTAAAAGTTGATAACTTTTGTATTTCTTATCGGTTTTACATATATAATATATCAAATTAATTATCTTTTGATGATCTTCGATTTGACATCCATATTGTATATATTGAAATAAATAAATTATATTTATATTTATAATAATAAAAAAAATTATATTTATTAAAATTCATTAGTAAAATAAAATTATTTCTCAATTGATATATTTATGTTTAATATAGTTAAATGTTGTAAGTTAAAAAAAATTGTTATAATATAACACATGTAAGTCACACAAATAAAAAGTGTCATACTAAATATATAATAATATATATATTTTTATGAAAGGTATTTAAATTTTTAACTATTTTTTCTCATTAATTTTAGATTTTAAGTAAAAAAATTAGCAAACACCCATGTGATACACGGGAGTTGTACTAGTATGTAAAAAATACACATCTTATTTTTAAAGATTAAATCATATAAATAATCTTACATAAAATTTTATTAATTAAATAAACTATCATAGATATTCTAACCTAGTCATCGGATTAGGTGTATGTTAATAAATCCCTAATTTTTTCCCCAAATTGTAAAGGCCACAAATCTATAGCGCCAATTTCAATCAAGCAGATAAGGTTTCTATCTCCTCCCTGCTTCTTCTCTCCCCCCTTTTGGCTGTACAAAACCTATTTTCTGTGGCTGATAACAGAGAAGGAAGAGAAAAGATAGATTACTTCACATCCTCTGCATTTTTCTCCAAACTGTAAACCCGAAAAATCGATTCTTGAAACTCCCAGTTGTTAATTATGGCTATGGCGCTTCAAGCTTCCCTCGTTAACAGACCCTCAATGCGGCATCGAAACTCTCTTTCCATCACTCTAAAACCCTCAATTTCCAGATTCCAATCTCATAACCATCTCCACAGAAGAATAAATCCGGGGTTTTGCGGCCGGGTTCGTCTAAATTCCAGACCTTTACAGAACAGCTTAGTCGCTTATTGTACGTTGAGTGCAGAGAATGTAGATTCGGCTACTGTCCCAGCTGATAGTAATGATTTTAGCGGAAAACCGGAGCCGGTTGAGCTCGATAATGTAGCCGCGTCATCGGTCGAAAGAGAGATCAGTGGTGAAAAGATGAACGAGGATGTGGAGAAGAGGTTGCCGATTATGGTGTTTATGTTGGGATTGTTCACGAGATTGAAAAATTGGTTTGAGCGTGTATTGTATTCGGATTGGTTCAGCTGGTGGCCGTTTTGGAGGCACGAGAAGCACTTGGAACGGTTGGTTGAAGAGGCTGATGCGAATCCCATGGATGCTGCGAAGCAAAGCCGTTTGTTGGCTGAGCTTAATAAGCATAGGTTAGTAGCTTTTTGGCTATTGGCATTGGCTTTTTTGTTGGCACATACTTCAAAGATTCGTGCTTTTCTTATTTTGTATAGAACAATTTTGTGTGGTAGAATGCTTTCCAGAGTTCAGTAAGTTTTTTTTTTGTCATATTAGCAAGAAAGATTTATCCTGGTTAGCTGGATTCGCTAGGAGAATTGAGTTTGTGTAGCTTTATTGACTTATATGTGTGATACTAAGTTTACCTGCTACATATGGTGGTGAGACCGTGAGACATATAATCTTGTGGTGCTTAAAAAGGGTGTTTTGGGATGTTTAAAAAGTTTTAGAATCCAATGGACTGTAAATCTCCATTGAATTCTCAAAATTTATCGTCTGTAGAAACTGGGTGAGAAAATACATTTATGAAGTCAAATAATGTTAACTGCATTTTATGAAATTAAAGAATGTTCTAATGAGTTTATTTTCTTGTATTCTTAGTCCTGAGTCTGTCATTCAGCGATTCGAACAGAGGACACATGCTGTAGACAGTAGAGGAGTAGCAGAATACCTTCGAGCACTAGTGGCTACGAATGGGATAGCTGAATATTTGCCTGACGATCAATCTGGGAAGCCTTCTAGTCTTCCTTCTTTGGTATTACCTAACTCATTTTATGTTTCTTTTATTTTTTTTATATAGCAATGAAGTAATGGCTCATTTGTCCATCTGTCTTAGTTGTTTCAGTGTGTGTTGGTGTTTCACTTCAGTGATACTGAGTTGGGAAGCTTTAGTTGCATATTGTTGAAGCACCGAAACAACTGCATGTAACTTTATCTTTATTGCTTCCTCTTTTGTATGTCAGACAAATTGATGCTAATTTTGGGTCAGTCTGGTGAATATGAACCAGTTAAAATCCTTTACCTATTGGACCAACTAGTTTGTGGACCATTTTGGCTTATATTGACCTGATATAGCCTTTGAATCTTTATCTTATCCTAAATTTATTTCTTCTCTTGGATCACTTCTAACTTTGACTATTGTGTTTTAGCTGCAAGAGTTGCAACAACGTGCATCAGGGAATATGGAAGAGCCTTTTGTGAACCCTGGTGTGTCCGAAAAACAGCCATTACATGTTGTAGTGGTAAGAGAGAGAAGAGAGAGAGAGAGAGCAAGAAAAATTGAATATTATTTCTTCTCCTGCTTTAGATATTGTTTACACGTATTGTCAAGTCTTCAACATTTTCTTCTGCCTAGGTGGACCCCAAAGTGGCAAGTAAATCATCACGCTTAGCACAAGAGGTCATATCAACTATCTTGTTCACTATTGCTGTCGGTTTAGTATGGTAATGACCTCTGCTTGTAATGGCTCAATTCTAGTTTATGAATTATTAATTTTGCTTCCTTCTGATTGTGGGAGTTTTGCAGTCACAAGAAGCGATTGGTTTTGATGCCATTACTTCTTTGTATTTTCTATTTCAATTATCCATTTCTTTTGCATCTTTACTACCCGAATGTTTTATTATGTGGTTAATTCGTTTTGACTTTCTCAGGGTATTGGGTACTACTGCACTCCAAAGGTATATTGGTAGCTTAGGTGGTATAGGTACTCCTGGAGTTGGTTCGAGTTCTTATTCACCAAAAGAGCTGAGCAAAGAAATAGTGCCAGAAAAGGTAAATCTTTTTTATGAGTGTCTTTAGCTCTTCATTTAGCACGTTGCATAATTGGAAGATGTTTATTTTGGATTTCTGTGATTTAACATCAGTTGAAAAAAATGGCCCCAGATGAATTTGTAGATTCTTGCAAAATAAAGTCTTTCCTTCTTTCTTTCTATTTTCTTTTTCCCTTTTTCTTGTCTTATTTAGCTGTATAAATTTTGACTCTGCAGAATGTTAAGACATTTAAAGACGTCAAAGGATGTGATGATGCTAAACAAGAGCTCGAGGAGGTGGTTGAGTATCTCAAGAACCCTTTGAAATTCACTCGACTTGGAGGGAAGTTACCAAAGGTTTGTTTGGTTTTTTTATTTTTTATTTATATACTATAGAGTCATTTTATTACCCTCTTGTGGATTGATTGATTTCTCTCTTTTTCCTATTTTAATATGGATTCAAATTTCAGGGAATCCTTTTAACTGGATCACCTGGTACTGGAAAAACTCTGCTTGCAAAGGTATATGTTTGCTGTACTGCAACTAAATACGGCTATTGTGGAATTTCATTGTCTTCTTATTTACGATTAGTATTTACTCAATTTGAATGGCCCCATTGAGGCTACTATAATTAACGGACATTAATATCTGACCATATTATTGCTTAAAATTGTGAAGGCTATTGCTGGAGAGGCTGGTGTGCCTTTCTTTTACAGGGCCGGATCCGAGTTTGAAGAAATGTAAGCCCTTTTTTTTTTCCTTTTTTTTTTTAAGGCATACGTGTGCATAGGGATTTAGCTTCTCCTTTTCCCTTTCCATTCAATTTTTTCGTTTTAAAAAAAAAAAATTGCTACTATTTTTATTGTAGGTTTGTAGGTGTGGGTGCTCGGCGAGTAAGATCCTTGTTTCAAGCAGCTAAAAAGAAGGTTGAACTCTATTTTCCTGTTTAAATTGTTATAATCAAGTTATGAACTTTTTTTTTTTTGTTTTTTTTTTT